TCTGGACATGTCCAAACCGCCGCCCCTCCTCTGGACATGTCCAAACCACCGTCCCTCCTCTGGACATGTCCAAACCACTGTCCCTCCTCTGGACATGTCCAAACCACTGTCCCTCCTCTGGACATATCCAAACTTCTGTCCCTGCTCTGGACATTTCCAAACCGCTGTCCCTCCTCTGGACATGTCCAAACCACTGTCCCTCCTCTGGACATGTCCAAACCATCTCAGTGTGTCCTCTCTAACTTTATCTCCCAGTTGTTCAACCTGTGCTGTACCTCTGATCATCTCATTCCTGATCTTCTCCATCCTTGTCTCTCCTCAGGAGAACCTCAACATCTAAGTGTGACAAAGTAAAAACAGAAGGAATCTGAAGATTCTCAGAAGATTGAAGATTATGAAGATTATCTGTGAAGATTCTCAGATGATTGAAGATTATGAAGATTATCTATGAAGATTCTCAGATTCAGATTCTCAGAAGGAATCTGCAAGAGGGCGAATGTGTTTCCAAACCACTGTATGTGTTTTAGCACGTTTGATGTGTAAATTATCTATTTTTCTGTCTTGTTCTAAGGGTGCTCCAAGTTACAAAGGTTACCTGTGAGAATCCCAGAGACGGAGGTCCGTATTCACTCAGGACGGGCCTGTAGGACTGCAGCGTGGCCAGGTTAGCCGCTGAGGGAGATGGGAGGTTTCCAACTGTTGGTAGAACATAAATCTCTGTTACAGCCTTTTCCTGTGGAAATCAGATTTACAACTCCGGTAAATCCAAGAGGAGTTCTCTCAGTAACTATAACTGGTAATATGTTGCTACTGTGCCTGTTTTATATTAGTCAATTTGAGTTAGCTAGCACTTTGCAAACACCAACAGCTGGACTGAAGTGCAGCACGGCTGAAAACGAGCCGAGCATTCCTTGAAGGAATGAACATTGCACCCCATCTTTGACCCCAAATTTCAGACTGAGCTTGTGTCATGATCAGAATTGATGACCATGGATAAAGATTGGGTGATGGAAGGCCAGTGTGTGTGTGTGTGTGTGTGTGTGTGTGTGTGTGTGTGTGTGTGTGTGTGTGTGGGGAA